TTATTATTATTATTATTATTATTATTATTATTATTATATAGTTTTTACCTTGGTTAAATGTGTGATTATTATTATTATTATTATTATTATTCACAGTCGTTACTTGAGACATCACCCAACATATGTCCTCGCAGATGAAAGAGCTGCATCATGACATAAATAGCGTAAACTTCACTACTGAAAATAGAGGAAGAAAAAAATGTAATGCAATTACCGTGAGACCTTCAAAGCTCACATTACGGAGCTTTGATTCTATAGTCCTAGTTACCGCGGGACTACCAACTGTTTCTTCCACATTATACTTCAGGGGCTTATCGGCTGTTTGCAATGCGGTACTAGCTTCTTTCAAGGCTAGTATGATGGCCCACATCGTATCAAATGCTGTTGCTATTTCGATCTTGTCTGAGTCGTCGCTGCAGTTTTCCACTTCTGGTTTACTGAAGACCTCCCTCAGGGACTAAGACAAGGAAATAAAATAGATACATCTTTGTCTTCCGCACATTGAGGGGTGGGGGAAAAGAAGGGGTCGGTCTACTCAAGGAACAAGTAAATGTATAGTCATGCAAATAAAGCTACTTGTTGCTTTTTGTGACGGGAGGGCGCAAATGAAGGATGATTTCAATTCTCCAGAGTATCAATAATTTAATTTAGACAACAATCCTAAGAAAATACGCGCGCTGATTGGTTAAAAATCGTGTTTCTTAACAATTAGATTATGAGCCCGAGATTTCTTTGTAAATGCCGTAAATGCCCTTCTTTTAGTCTTCTCAGGAATTTTGTTTCGTTTGTTTTTAAATGTTCTTTTAAAACTTTGGAGAAACGAGGAAACGTTGAAATTTTTTCGACATTAATGGTTGATAGTGTGCAATGGCTCAGCCAATCAGATTACAACATTTGCACTAGTATACCAGTAGAATTCTACTAAAACTCGATAGAAACACAGAACTAGCACGAGCTGTTGATATCACCATGGCGCAAGCAAAGAGAATTTACACTTTGATAATCAAAGTTAACAAGTTGTTTTCCTTTTTTTCGTCGCGGTGTTTTCTGAGAGAAATAGGAAACATGTTCTCCTTATTTCTATCGAGTTATAGAAACACTCATGAAAGTTTGGGAGAACTCGAAAAAGCTGTGGAAACACTCGCCTACGGCTTGTGTTCCCACAGCATTTCTCGCTCTCCCAAACTTCCACTCGTGTTTCTATTTAACAATTAGATTATGAGCTCTCGATTTCTATGAGGCAATAGTTGATTCAGCCTTCGGCCGAATGATCTAATTGTTTTAGTAGAATTCTAACTTAAATTAACAAAAATAATGGTTTCCAAATATTTTTCGGCGCATTATTGAACTTTACGCTTTAACAAATTGGTAAATTTGCAGTTGTTTACGCGCTCACCGGTTTTTCAATAATTTCCAGTTTTTAAAGTCAAGAATCCGTTTATGTCCTTCTTTTAGTCTTCTGAGGAATTTAATTATCCATTTACATCTAAACGTTCTGCCAAAACTTCGCAGAAACGATAAAAACGTCGCATTTCGTGGACGACCGACAGCTACTGCATTCTAATGGCTGATAGTATAAGAGTAGCTCAGCCAATCATATTGCAGCATTTACATTAATATACTAGTAGGAATTCTACTAAAACTCGATAGAAACGCGGTACATGTTTTCTATTTCTTAAAGGGATAGGCCCTTTGCAGCTAAGCCATCACGTGACCTAATTTTCATAAAATTATGGGCTATAAGTTAACGAATGCCAGAAATGGAAAAAGCATGT